CGATATTGTACTTCAAAAACAGAGCTGGGGACCCCTGTGCACGTTTTCTTTTCTACGATTCGCATATGGAACTATTGGTTGCATATGGAAAAGCATTATCCAGCCATAAAACGTTCCGCAATCCCCGATTAGGTATTTTATATAACGACTTTACGTCGTTATTCACCAAATTTTGTCTCAGCTTACAAGTCGGTTGAATTCATTCAATCGATGCGCGAGACTCTTTGTGCGCAGACCTCTTTATCTGTAGGCCCATCAAGAGGCTGCGCTTTTTTATAAACATACCCTCACTACTCATTTCACTTGCCGTTCACGCCATTTACCCTTTTATATAGTTCACTTGCACTTTTTACATGTATTCTATTCCCGCAACTTTTTCTGTTGTTTTTGTCTACAGTTTGCTTTATCTGTATTCCATGAAAGACTGTACTTTCTTTCTCATGACTGTTTCTCATGGCTCACCAATAGGTCACTTACCCTTCTTGAAAAGATTAAGCCATCAACAACTTTTTTGGGTGTCTTGTACAAAACACTTCTTTGTTGGTGCTCAGTATAAATACCCCCTGCGCAAACAGTAGGGGCTTCTTCTTGCATCTCACTTCTAGCTTCTGGTTCCTTGTTGGTGCTGTTTTTTGAATATCTGTATAATTTGCCATATCAGAATAAAACTTCCAAACGTTCGTGTGGAAGATTCCTACAACAAATTTGTGGTGACTCGTAGATCTGAACTTGGACCGCGTGGCACTCTACTCAGAGGATAAGGCGAGCAGATTCTACATTTCTACAGCTGCAGAATCCTACAAAATCTATTCTATATTTTACAGCTGCAAAGTCGCTACAGGGGGGAAGATATTAATGGTAGTATTTAGCGAGTAATAAAGTTATTATTTACTTCTATGTAAAGTGAAAAAGCGACTGTTGTGTTCTTCAGATAGTGCTCGTCATTTTGGTACCGAATTCATCCCAGGTGGGTCAGCTTTGATAAAAGTCATTTTTGCATGGAAAAGCTCCTTTGGGCCGAAGTATAGCGAAAACTAATAGGATCTGAGCCTTGTCACTTAACTTTCCTTTTCTACAGAGCCAACCCCGTTGACGAGAAGTTTTTGAAGTTCCTACCTAGCACTGGCTGTCAATTTCGAGGTCTTGAATCAGAGAGAAATTCACATTTTTTCATGGAAAGAAAATAGTACAAAAAGTATACCATTGTATTCCTCGTTAAAAATGCTTTACATTAATATAAATTACAAATCACAAAATTCTCTGTGGTTTTTTCGAGTTTTATCGCAGCCATCTCTCCTGCACTAAACCATTCTGCCCAATTAGGCGTCTCGCCGAGCTGCTGACCTCCGGATCTCTCTCAATTACCAGAGGGCTTTTGTCGCACCTCAAGATCAACGAGAGAATGGTGAGACTGTGTTATTTTTCTATGAACAGCAAATGGTCGAACTTAGCTAATTCAAGAATAGATCACTGTGTGCCACGCTTCTGTTGGGAGACCCATTGAGTGAAGCATAACTCATTTTCTATACAAGTACCACGTAATCGGAACCCGTTACCTCACTTTTACTAGGTTCAAAACCACGGTATAACACTATCATGATTGCCCCCCAGTTCCCATTCCAGTTATGCTTCACTCAACAAGGCTCAGATCCTATTAGTTTTCGCTATACTTCGGCCCAAAGGAGCTTTTCCATGCAAAAATGACTTTCAACAAAGCTGACCCACCTGGGATGAATTCGGTACCAAAATGACGAGCACCTATCTGAAGAACACAACAGTCGCTTTTTCACTTTACATAGAAGTAAAATAATAACTTTATTACTCGCTAAATACTACCATTAATATCTTTCCCCTCTGGTTATAATTATAGCGAGCGACGCTCGCTAATGAGTCAGCCTCAGGTAATTTGATAAATTTCATGAGAATGAAGCTGAAAATTCAGAGAAACTCAATAGTCCTCTATACCGTTGAATTCTTCGTGAGCAGAGCTATCCAGTGGTATAAATTTCGAATGACCTGGTCCATTTGTTCACGAGTTATGGCGAGGCGACGGTTGCGACGGACTGACTGCGTCGCATTCCGTCGATTGAACAAAAATTAGTAGCGGTATTGACAAGAGCTGTATCTTGTAATCCTGTCGTGCTATCTATTCCTTCAGGGTACCCTAAGTCAAACACCCAATCCTAAGCCACAGGCTCGTTCACGGTGAAGGACGAAGCAAGGGCAACATTGCGCGGAGTTTTCGACAGGTTTTCCTGCTGGTTTAGCCGCTAGCGCACCATTTAGCACCACTAGTTTCATTCTGGACCAACCCACAATTATCACACCCACTTCCATCAAAATTAGTGGGACGGGCATCTGGGGTCAAAACAAGCCTTGAAACTATGGTATCTCATCACTATGGTGTGCACTTTTCACTTTTGCTCACAAAAAAAGCAATTTGTAGAAGAAGTCATCTTGTTATGTTCGAGCTGTTGCAATGCTGTCACAATATCAATGCAGCCATATTGTGTGGATTCAAATGAAGTTTAGGTGCTACAAAAGGTTGTTAAGCAAGTACTACGAGCTATGAACGAACTA